TTAATCACTATTCAGACAACAACATTATTGAACTCCTATTAATCAAAATAGAAAATCGAAAAGATTTTCCTCATACCTAGCGAATCAAATAAATATCAATTGCAGGTTACCCATGGCGGTACTGGACAAAATTGCAGGTGACCCATGGTGGTACTGAATGCGCTTGATTGAAAGGAGTGGAGTGGTGGTGGTGGTCCGCGATCGAAACGGTGACCGACGGCGACCGACGACTGTGGAAATATGGCTAAAACCGTGATTGGTAGCGTGGTTTTGGGTGGTGATTGAGGTTGTTTTCGACAACTCCGTGGCCATGTGATGACAACAGGTTGAAGATGGAGGTGAGGGGGTTCGAATGGTAGTGGGGTATGGTGTTCTCAGTGACTGGTGGTGGTCGATTGTTGAGGAAGAAGGCAGCGGTTGTGATTCTTCTGGCTCTCGAATAAGAAAGGGGGCATTTTTCGTGTTTTTAGAATTTTGCCTTGTTTTGCCTGAAAACATACAAAATGTCTATTTTGACGTTTTCAGTTTTCAGGCAAATTTTTTTGTTTTTTTTTTCAAAAATTCATTTTTGAAAACGAGAAAGAGAACGCGTTTTTACTGTTTTGAAAAATCGAAAACAGAAAACGGTCCCAAAACAACAAAGAGAACGGGACCTGAGTTTTTATAGAATGGGGCACAAACAGGGGCCAAGATTCATAATCAAATAGTTTGAATACCCTTTTAACTTTTCAGAACTTAACTTGGGATGATGATTATCCATCTTTCATTGATGATTCGTTTTTGCTGAAGTTATCAAATAAATATCTTGGTTTGCAATCGATGAGAAAAAAAATTTGAATAGTTTAAAGTCTTTATTATTATTATTATTATTTTTTTTTTATTTTTTTATTTTTTACTTGTTTGAACCTGGAAGTATGGAACAACTCGCTAGGAGTGGGAACGGCAGAGGGAGATTTCATGTCAAGACTCTAGTGACACCCCCCTCCCCCCAGCGTAATTCACAATTGAAGTTCTGGAAATGTTGTTCATGCCACCTTTTCTTCTATTTCCCTCTATCTCAAAGATAGTATGATATAGAATAAGGTCACGGAAGGCTTAAATTAATGCTGTTTTATGTGCATATTAAACTGCAATTGTCTATTATTGTATTATCATCATTAATCAATGCCACTTGTTTGCAGGGCAGTCAACAACTTACCTATGGGATACCCTGTCATACAGCAGCCTCCAGTTCCTGCTACAGGCCAACATCATTTTGATTCTATCGGATATTCCACATCTAGCTGTCACATTGTTAATGGTGTTCCAGCACCAGGCAATTTCCATCCAACGCGAATGACATTTGGGAATGAGTGAGAGTTCTTTTCATTTATAGCCTCCGCTTCCTTTACTTTTAAAAGCCGATGCTTGAAATTTGAAGAGAAATTTCATAGTCGAGAACCCGTTCGGGAATCGATGGATTTGGATCAGGTCTAGACCAAAAATCGAAACTAAATAATTTTTTTTATTTTTTATATTGAATTAATTAAATTATTTTTTAAAACAAATTACCAAATTAATTAAATAAATAGTTGGTAAGTATTANACCAAGAACCGAAGAATCGAAATTAAATAATTTTTTTATTTTTTATATTGAATTAATTAAATTATTTTATCAAGCAATTGATGATTAAATCAAATAGTGGGTAAGTATTACCAATATTTAAAAATATTTTATTTTTATAACTTTTAATTTATATTTCATTTTCTTTATACATGCATGCTACTTGAAACAAATGAATTTACTTTATGTAGTGTTGCTGTAATATTAATATCTACTCTTTGGTATTTGTATGCATTGAATTAATCTTATTGGACGGCTAGTTATTTATATGTTTTTAAATTGGGATATGTTAATTTGTAAAAATTACGAATGGAATGTCATTGGTTGTATTTATGTAGTGTTNAATATTAATATCTACTTTTTGGTATTTGTATGCATTGAATTAATCTTATTGGACGGCTAGTTATTTATATGTTTTTGAATTGGGCTACGTTAATTTGTAAAAGTTACGAATGAAATGTCATTAGTTGTATTTATGTAGTGTTACTGTAAATATTAAAAAAAATTAATTATGGTACGGAACCGAACCCGAACGGTTCCATAATTATATTTGGACCCGACGGTTCCATTTATTAAATATCCGAAAGTTTTGGATCGGTTAGAACCGAATCGAACCGACACACGAACAGCCCTACTTTCTTGACTTTCATAGGTAATTTTTTATTTTTTTGATAAATATAAGAAGCGTCTTTGCTTTCTACTAGTACTTAAGACATTATTTAAATAACTTGAATCAATAAATCTATCAAAAAATTGTTGTATCATTACCGAAAAGATGTATTATTACTTACTACTGGTAATAAAGACTGTATCAAGCCGTAGCTATATTTGGCTCATGTGTATAAACATTGAAGTAATTTTTTATCAATATATTTTGAGGAATTCACAAATATATAACAACATATTCATTATTTATTTCTATCTATATATAATTTATAAACACTTTCAAAACAAGTTATCCATAAATGGTGGTATCAATCTGGTACACGATGTCCCTACAATGAGAAAGTCAATCGTTCAGTTATCTAAAGTGAATGCAATCTGGCACTAAACATCAAGAGTGACTATTGTGTACTCTTATAAATGGTTGATTGAACAAGGAACTTTGACCAAATGCATGGCATTCTATTTTATTTATTGTTTGCTGTGTAATCACAATCCGAATAACACTGGACAGTGACATTACAGAGATTTCTCATATTTGGCGTCTCCTGTAAATGTCTGAGTAGGGATGACAACAAGATAGAGTTTACAAGTACTCTTTTTTTTGATGTTCCGTTTACTTATGTATTTATTTCGAGAAGTGGGTTGTGGTACTTACAAAAATACTCTTAAAATTAGGGATGTTTTGAAAAATCATATGAAAAGTTTTTAGGAAGTAAAAAATACTGTGTAAAATGAAAAAGTGACACAATGTCACTTTTTTTTATAAAAATTGTCACTTTTTTATTTTTTAAAAAAAAA